TGTCACTAAAGTTTCGTCGGAACTAAGTTACGGAAAATTAATTAACAAACGGAGACGTAACACTATATTACCTTGTATGTGTGGAATGCTCTACGACTATCACTTTGAGCAGAGATACTTCTAGATTATTGTTATCCAATTTTGTGATTATTCAACTTAGGAGAAAATGTGAGCTTTAAGGATGGTTTTGACCAAATTAGTTTCGGTTGCTGAGAGACCCAGTACTTGCTACAGAAGTCTCGATCGGGGTTTTAGTTTTCAATTCTGTTTCCGTTTTAGCGTGCTCTACGTGTGTTCGCACTCTTTTTTGTTAGCAAAAGCATTCATTGTTGGTACCGTAGTTACATGATTGTTTTATTTATAAACTTATACACTGATTATTGTAAAATTAGTTTCTAGGTCAAAGTTTTTTATTATTGGGTCAGTAGCTGGTTTGCCATAGTGACTTTTAAATCACTGTATGTTGACCGAGTTATGTCTAGGAAGCTGTACTGTAACATTCAATTGGATTAATAAATCTTCTTGATCAGGATCTGAAAGGATCAGGTGCTGCAGTCGATGAAGCCCACGTTATTCTCCGATATTGTTCGGTCCAGTATGCAAGAAAATGTGTTTTAACATCATGTATCCACTGTATGCACGTTACAATTTTCCGTAGATTATCGCACACGCGAGTGGCCTTTTTCAGGCCATATCCATATTTTCCGGCAAATATTTCACTTTATTTCGTTCCTTATGAACATACAATCTTGTTCTCGCAAACAGTTCTATAAACATCAATAATATATATAGTACTAATCTTATTTTTACATAAATAGCCATTTAAAATATCTTGCTATTGGTTTCTCCAGTAGTACGTAACGAGTTTACTAGATTTAATGGTGAGAGGTATTTAAGTCAATCTTCATGTACGATAAGGTTTTTCAGAGTGCTTAGTGATGCAATTTTGTTAAGACTTTTCATAAAATAGTCTGTTGATCTATTTAGAAGTCTGTCTGACAACATAGGGATGTTGGCGTAATGTGTAATAAGGTTGTGTTTGTGGATCTGGGATTGTGGATTGTCTTTAGTATATTTATGTGTGATTTAGCTACATTTAAATTTAAGTTTAACCATACTGGCAGGCATATTCCACCACTGAACGTATACAGGTTTTGCAAATTTTAAGAATGTTTTCAGTTGTTGCGCCCCTGTTGTTTCCAGTCAGACGTCGTACATAATTTGATCTTTGCCATATTTTATTTTTTAATTTAATTTACATGTTTCGTCCAATTTAGTTTTGAATCGTAAGTTAGGCCCAGAAATCTGGCTGATATGGTTACCTGGAGAAGGGTTTCATTTAGGTATAATTTTGGAGGCTGCTTACTTGTCTTGGTTGACTTCTTGAATAATATAATTTATGTTTTTGGAACATTTATTTTGATTTTCCATTTGTTGCAATAGTTCTCTATTTCGTTTAGTCGCGGTTGTAAATTTGTCGCTGCAATGGTTGGAGTATAAGAACTCTTCCACATAGCCACATCATCAGCAAACTAGGAACAGAATCAGAGATTTGGATCTAACAGAAACAATTCACTCACATACATGATGAATAGTATAGGGCTAACTACTACTTCTTGCAGGACATCTGCGTCCCGAGTAAAATACTACAAGAAGATGCACGATACATTAACTTTAGCTTCTCTGTTATCTAGAAAGTTGGAGAGCAAATGTATAATAACTCACGGTAGTTTCATTTTAGACATTTGGAAATTTAATCCGTTGCGCCATACACTGTCGAAGGCTTTTTCAACATCGAGAAAGCAGGCGACAGTAAATTCATTCAGATTATAAATGTTTATTATGGCTTCTGTGAACATTACCAGATAGTTTGTTGTTTGTCTTGTTTTTCGAAATTCATTTTGTATTTTTGGTAATTTTGATGTCAGTTCGAGATGGGCAGAGCACAGATAGTCCTTTGTGTAGTTTTATGTTTAATAGCAAACACCAACAATTATCCATGTTTGACTGGGATATTCGATTATTAGTCATATGTATTGTTTGTATATCAATAACGTCCTATGGTGAGATTCCTGAGTTGTTATCCGACAGGCTCTTGACTTTGTTTGCGCGTCTCCACATTTTAGTTCGGATCTGGTTAATATGGGTTTTCCAATTTAATTTAGAGCCATATGTAATACCTAGAAATTTAGATGACACGACAGTCTGGAGGAGGGTTCCATTCACATACAATAAAGTTATTTGTGTTTTAGGTACGTTAAGTTTAATTCTATGTTTTCCTCGCCTCTTGTCGGCATTGGGCTTTAGGTCTTGTAGACATGGAAGGGTCAGATGCAATTCGACTTCTTCATCCCTGTTTGACTATTGTTTGTAGTAGTTTCTTTCTTTGGTTTCGTTACATTTATCCTTTTCAGGGCCATGTCCATGAATTTTATCCGATGGGTCAGTAATCAGTAGTGGTCTACCGGCAAATAACTCCCATAAGCACCGAACTATCCTTGTTTTCATTGTGCAGTTGCTTTCCTTTGCTCTCAAAATTGGCGCTATGGTCGTTCTGTCACTCGTGTAAACCCCGTTGACGTATGAAAATATCAAGATGGCGTCGTAGCGGGTGAAAGTGGATGGTTGTATACCGTAAGTTTATGAAAATTATGAAGTCTTCAGTGTGTGTTTTTCTATCATTACATGTATATAGTTTATTACTGATTTATTGCGATCAGAATTGAATTTTAATTTTGGTAAATGAGTTTTGACAACTGAGTGTAGAATTTCTAAAAGCAATACCAATTACTGAATGAGCCAGCCCTAAATAGTAGATTACTAAATAACTTGGAAGTTGGACTGCTTGGAGTCAGTAGGACTCGGGAGTAGGATACTGACTGAGTAAACAGTAACTGAGTAAGCGTTTGTCGTTTGCACCCATGGATGTATCACCATTAATAAAAAATACCAATGTTGCTTTATTATTTAATTAATTACTGTTTCTAAAAGTAAAACTCTGATTGACGTTGACAGTTTTAACACGTAAGATTTATGATTTACAAGTACAACTACAAAGTACAAGATGGTTTGTTAGTGTTAGTACTGTTACAACTTACAGTGTTAGTGAATACTAGTAGTACTACTACAGTATAGCCCTAAACACTTATATACCAGTGAAGCCTCTTAAGGTCAAATGAAGTATAACTTTGCCATATCTTGAGACTGTTTAAAATTTTGTGATTATGACTTAGTTTTAGACTCTAAGCCTAATCACATTTAATACGGCTTATGAAATTCATTCATGGTGGTTTGCACTTGAAATTGTGTTTAGAATTAAAATAATTTACATTTTGTTATAATTAACAAAATAGTGGGATGATAATTTAAATATCTGTGAATTAGTGGTCATTCTCAATACAAAAATATAGTGCATCAGGTGACAGTAACACTACTAATACTATTTACTAATAAGTAATAGTAACACTACTAACAGTACTAATAACATAGAGACTTGCATCATAAGTCTCTGCACTGTTATTAAACACAGTTATGCAACCAGATGGCTGATGCTGCTGGTACTACTACTGTAAACCTTCCATGGTGTATTAGAATGGACCTTTCCATAATGATGTCATGACATCATGTGATCTTGTTTTCTTCTACTTCTAGTGTCTGTCATGTTGGTTGGCATCGAACATATATTCAGGGTAGTGAAAAAAACTTGAAAATGCCTTTTCATTGTTGCACTTTTGACTGCACCAATAAAAAGGTCTTGGAACTGGGTGTATCTTTTTGCAGGTTCCCAGATGACCCCCAGAAAAAATCAGTATGGGTTGCTTCAGTTATGAGATAAGATTGGTAACTTTCACAGTGTTCCTGTATCTGTGGTGCATATTTGTGAAAGCTATCAGAATAAATTTGTGAAGTAATATTTGTATAATTTTTAAACTTTGTAATTAAATATTATATAAATATCATACTATTTATTAATTATTGATAAGGGGTTCATATAATTTCTGTGGGCATTAATGAGTAGGCCAGGGTCAGTTGGGCATTATTGTGTCATAGACCAAGAGGCATACAGGTAACATCACAATGAGTAAATACTACTAACAATCTATAACTCAAGCATTTTTGAAAGTACTCAGGTTATAGGGTGTCATATTTTTGTGTTAAATTGATTTCTTGAAAAAATGTGTTTTCCTAACATCATGAATACTACAGATAGTTGATACTAGTGACAAAAGTTTATGCTCATAGTAGCAACTATGGGAGAAAAAAGTAGAAGCTACAAAAACAAAACTCACCTCAGTAGTTACAAAGACACAAGCCACAATCTTTCTTACTTTCATGTCTAACACCCATCTTGCTGAGAAGAATTTATAAACATCTAACTTTATATAGCACTTCATAACTTAGTGGATTAAGCTACTGGTGGATTCAATAAGATGCATACAAACATGATAGAACCCGGGAGCTAATCATTTACTGACTTCATATCATGATCAAACAAGTCATCAGCAAGAACAGTTGTCCAGGCTGCCTGTGGAATAACATGGATTTAAAACAACAGAATCATCCATTTTCTCTCAACTTGCTTCCATAAGCGATTTTGGTGTAGTTTTCAAGATTAAGTGCATGTTCGCTCAGCTTTATCACTACCATCATCACAAAACATTTGACAGTTTGACCTCCAAAGTGGCTGATACCATTGTTGTGCTTTCTGTAAATCACATAATCTGGAAAGGTCTGTTGTTTTCCATTAATAACTATTTATCAAGTCTGAACATGTCAGAACTTGTAGTGAAGATTTCAATCTCATTTCTATATATGAAATTTCAAGGGGGGGGGCTTCCATTGAAAGATTCATTAAGTCTTCACCATGGTATGTAGTGATACCTCCTTGGGAAAGGTTTGAAATGTATATTACTTTATTATTGTATCCTTTTATCTTTTTATTTGTCCAATGAAGACAGAACAAGTTTTTTCCTCCTAGTTTTTTTTTTTTATTTGTCTAGAATGTAGATGGTTGTATTAACATGACCAGTAGTTATTTTATGATACGCAATGGCTAGATAATACCAGTTCTTTGAAAGAAAAACTTCTTTAACCCTACTGACACAGGTAAAAGGCCATGTCATTACCTTTGTTGACTCGCATTCAAAATTTTATTGAACTAATATTTTATGAATGTATGTCAATGA